TGGTTTGGGATTATTGTTCTGTTTTTGCACATTAATTTTTTCGTCATACACATACATATGAGATATATATATATACTTCCTTTTGTCGTAAAGAATGTACCCACATTTATGAAGTTACCGCTTCTCTGTCCTATAGGGTAGGTAAGTTTCGTTCACTTCTGAGGTAAACTCAAATTACGAATAAATCCCTCTTGTTCGAGTAATTACAAATTACAATCACCCTCTATTCACTATGAATTTTCTTACATGTCCACCTCTACAGTGTCAAATTCGACAGAATCTTCTAGATTCCGTAGAATGTTCTCTGGTTTGTACTCGCTCCGTACGAAAATGCAGTTTCTGATGCATCACAATCTGATGTTTACAAGCCAAGAAACACATCTTATGATCATCCTGTCGACCTCAAATGTATAAAACGGGTACAAACTGGAGAATATTCCACATAATCTAGAAGATTCCACTAAATCGGACACTCTGTGGTCGTGTAAAAAGATTCATAATTGATGGTGGTTGTAATTACTCAAACATGAGGGGTTTTTTCGTAATTTGACATTGCCTCAGGGTGGCCGTAATTTACCTTTTTTTATTTGGTTGTTTATTTATTTATTTAATCTTTTTGTTCCTTGCGTAAGTTTAATGTATCTTTGACAGAGAGATACTTTTCTTGCTGGACTATTTGGTTTGGTTAGATAAAGAAAACTTGACTGTTTTTCACAAGGAGAAATGCAATTTTTGATTTATTTTCTTAATTATTTTCTTCAAATTATCGAATTCGGGTTCAAAACTAAACCGTTTATAAATGTAAGGTATAAAGAAGTATGATAAAAGTGCTTCAAGATTTACTCTAAAATGTTTTACTTACTTTATCTGAAGTTGATTAAGCCCTTTTCAAGGTGATTTTATATGGTCATATATATTATTTATTTTAATTTAATTAGGAATAATTATTTTAATTTCGTCGAAATAGGATACATGGATGATCGAGGTGAAAGTATCGAACCTAAGATGGCAGAACTAAGGGAAAATGAAAATCCTCGGTTTGAAGAAGCGAATTCATCGAAGAACGTAAATTTCTCGATCAGAAAGAAGAAATCTTTACAGGCTCGTTTCGCCTATGGCGTTATATTTTTATTGACGAATGTTATAGCTTGGCTTTTTCGTGATTACGGAGAAAGGATTTTACCTATGCTACCTTGTAAGTATTTGCATTTTATTTTCCGAGCATTCGGCAATTTCTTTTTTTTTTTTTTTTTTTTTTTTTAAATAGAGACGTTGATTTTCGTTTTAATTTTCGAATAAAGAAAAAAAAAGTTGCTGATAAAATATGAAAAATGCAGACTCGAAAGCTTGTGGTGCGGAGGAGAGGGAATGCTACCATACGATGGGAGTGCTTCGTGTCAGTTTAGGATGCTTCGTATCCTTTTGTTCGATAAAAATGCTCGATTTTTTTTTTTTTTAATTTACGAAGAATATTATTACGTCTTGAAAGTTATTTATGTAGTTAATTTTTTTCCCTTGACTATTGGTCTTAGATATTTTTCTTTTTAATGTTTATAACAACATGTCACACCGGAAAATTATACAATGTTCGAAATGCTTGGCATTCGGGATGGTGGGCTCTGAAATTCGTTCTGTTGCTCGTTTCTTTCGTGATTCCCTTTTTCATTCCCTCCGATTACATTCAACTATATGGTACGGTTTAATATCGATTTTTTTCTTTCTTATACTCGTATTTTTTTTCTTCTTAAATTTCTGTAAAAATTAAATTTATGATCTGATTTTTGCAGGTGAACTTGCTCGTGTTGGCGCAGGGTAATCTTCTAATTTCCTTTTTTTTTCTTTTTCTTTTTTTTTTTTTTTCAATTTTTATCATGAAAATGCATGTTATATAGAATTCCATGTAAATCTAGTATTTGTAAAACCATTTAAGAATAATATTAAAATAGGGTAAATTACGGCCAGCCCCTGAAGTAAGGTTTAATTACGAAAAAATCCCTCTTGTTTGGGTAATTACAACTATCCCTTCAACTATGAATCTTCTTACACGTCCACCGTTATGGTGTCAAATTCAACATAATCTTCTAGATTTCGTGGAATGTTCTCTACATTTGTCCTCGTTTTGTACAAAAATGCAGTTTATGATGCATCACAATCTGATATTTACAAACCAATATACACATCTTATGATCATCTTGTTTCAAAATGCGGAGTTCGAATGACGTAAAACGGGTATAAACTGGAGAATATTCCACATAATCTAGAAGATTCCACTAAATTTGACACCGCAATGGTGGACGTGTAAGAAGATTCATAGTTAAAGGGTTGATGTAATTACCCAAACATGAGGGGTTTTTTCGTAATTTGACCTTACCTCAGGGGTGGCCGTAGTTTACTCTATTAAAATAAACTATTTGGTAAATATTTTTACTACAAGCATAGACACCACCTAAGAGACAACGCAGAGATATTCCTAGGAAATTCTTTCACCGTACGCGTTTATATATTAGTTTCGATTTTTCGGTTTATCATAAAATGAATCATAATTCGATACATATATATATCTTACTCGAACGGTGCAGGGTTTTTTTAATTCTCCAGCTAATAAGCGTGATTGAATTTATTACATGGTGGAATAATTACTGGATGTCCGACGAGAGAAAAAAATCAAGGTAACAACGATATTTTTACGTCTTCTTTTTTTTTTTCATTTGAATTTTTTACCATATAACTTTTAGTTTTTTTTACGGTTTATGCCAGCTGTTCAATCGGGCTATTCATGTCAACGGCGTTTTACATTGCTTCCGTATGTGGCATAGTCGTAATGTACGTGCTTTATGCATCGAAAACTTCGTGTTCACTCAACATATTCTTCATTTCTTGGACCGCAATTTTGCTTATCGCGATGATGGTTATTGCATTGCATTCTAAGGTACGATTTTACGCTAATTAAATATATTTTACCGACTAATTTTGTAAGTATATATATTAATAATATCTGATATATAAGAATAGGTGAACAGAGGGCTGCTGTCTTCAGGGATTATGGCTTCTTACATTGTTTTCCTATGTTGGACTGCAATTAGAAGGTAAAACCTCATTATTCGAAAAAAAATTAATCATATAAGGATCATTTTTTTTTTCAATTAATTTTTTTTTAATATTAATTTTTGTTCGTTTTATAACATTTGAATCCTCAGCGAACCGGCGAGCGAAAAATGCAGTGGACAGAAGCAAGAAAGTGGACATAGTGGTTGGTCGACTATAGTCGTAAGTTTTCGTATTCATCCGACTTTAAATTGTTTTCTTTAGAAAAAAAAGAAATCGATTTGCTTATTAATCGTCTCCCTCTTTCCCGTTGATTATATTCTTTCAGGGGTTCGTCATTGCTCTATGCGCAATTGTAATGGCAACATTTTCCACCGGGATCGATTCACAAACATTTCAGGTGGGATTTAATTTAAAAAACATAATTATTTTTTTATTTTAATATTTTCGTCGACTAATAGATAATAGCTCGTGTTATAGTTTCGTAAAGACGAAGCTCAGTCGTTCGAGGATGATATTCCGTACAGTTATGGATTCTTTCACTTGGTTTTTTCTTTGGGGGCAATGTATTTTGCAATGCTATTCATAAGCTGGAATTTAGGGAGCCTCACAAGAAAGTAAGTCATATATAAATATACATATTAATTGTTTTCATTTTTAAATTTATGTAATAATTATATATTTCTATTTTCTTAATTTTCTAACCATTGTGTAAGAAAAAAAAACCAACAGATGGAGTATTGATGTTGGCTGGGCTAGTACATGGGTCAAGATTGTCAATGAGTGGTTTGCAGCCACAATATACAGTAAGCACAACAATATATATAATATATTTACCCTACTTATGATTAAATTACGAAAACACCCCTGAACTAAGGCTAAATTACAAAAAATACCCCACCTATCTGTAATTATCAAAATTCTCCCGATATTTGTTTCCGTCTTACACCAACCCCCTTGCGGTGTGATTTTTCATAGAATCTATTTGATTCCAAGTAATATTTCCCGAAAAATGCCGATTCTACCCCTACAGATGTGGCATTTCTTTATGCTTCTTTTTAAAGGCAAAAATTACCCTCAGCGGGCCCTTACACGAAATCTATTCTTCTTCTTCTTAAATTACACATTCACAATTTTTTCAGGAAATATTGACTGGGATAAAAAAAAATCCATTGAAAAATTACACCGTAAGGAGGTCGGTGTAAGATGGAAACAAACACTGGGATTTATTTTGGTAATTATGGATAGGTGGTGGATGTTTTTTTGTAATTTAGCCTAAGTTTAGGGGGGGTTTCGTAATTTACCCTAATATATGGATTTTATGAGTTAGAAAAATTGCAATTTTTTGAATTTTGTGGTTATAATGTGCAGTGTGGAAGCTGATTTTTCCTACTTTGAAAGAAACCAAAGTGATGAACCATGAAGAGTCTGTAGAGGAAGTGTAGATACAGTCTACTTCACAATTATATATATATATATATACACACACACATGATTTTGTTCTCTGATAGATAAATGTAATGCAGCTGTGTTGTTGCTGAATGTTACTGCCTATAATATTCTTTAATTTTTTTTTCAAGAATGGAAGTGTGATAGGGTTATGAATAATGCCAAAAATTTATACCGTTTAGCGAACTAAAATATACAGCTCCGATAAATTATCGAATTACCAAAACTTTATAAAAGTTGATTTAAAATTCAAATTTTTATTTATTTATATAATTTTAGTATAAAAATAATAAATTACGGCCACCTTTTGAGGTAAGTTCAAATTATGAAAAAATCCCTTTTGTTTTGATAATTACAACCACCCATTCACTGCGAATATTCTTAGACATCCATCCTTACAATGTCAAATTCAACCTAATCTTCTAGATTACGCGGAATATTCTCTAGTTTGTACTAGTTTTGTGCAAAAACGCTGCAGTACAATCTGATAGTTACAAGCCAAGAAACACATTTTATGATCATCTTGTTTCAAAATATGGAGCTCCAATGAGGTAAAACTAGTGCAATTTGAAAAATATTCCACATAATCTACAAGCTTCCACTAAATTTGATATCGCAAGGATGAACGTGTAAGAAGATTCATAGTCGAGGAGATTGATTGTAATTACCCAAACATTGTGAATTTTTTCGTAATTTAATCTTATCTCAGAGGGTGACTGTGAGCTACCCATAATATAACCTTTCATATTTACTTATTGATTAAATGGTAATAAAATAATTATGCATATAATATAATTAATTTCTATCCTAAACCTATTCTACTGTACCTTATTACATATATTAATGTATCCTCTCTATAGAACACCATGAACCAAAAATATATTAGCAATAATATACAGCCACTTGAAGGAAATAAAATTAGGTCTTGTCATTAACGAAGCACTATTGTCATTAGGAGGACTAATGCTAGGGCTATCGTTGTCGCTATCGTCATTAGGAGGACTAATGCTGGGGCTGCCGTCGCCGCTGGGGCCGCCGCTATTGCCGCCTAGAACGAAGATATCCACCTTTTGTCCGGCGGCTTTGCAGTGGCCGGGGGTACCGCATATGAAGTAATGGTGGCCGCCGGATGTTAGCTCCACCGAGTCGTGACCGGTTGTGTAGGTAAGAATTGGCGAGCTTGAGTTGCACGATTCGAAATCTTCTTTACTCACTTCCATTACGTTATGGAATTGAGGGTTGTATTTGAAATCTGTCACAAATTTATTGTCTCGTTATATTGAAGAAAAAATACTATGAAATCGAGTTCAATAAAAAGAGAGGGACACTTTTCTTTATAACACATATTTTTAGTCAATTTCAAGATCATATTATTAGGGGTTGAAAATTGAACGGATCAGATAAGAGTTAATACATTTTAAAATTTGATATTTTTTATGAAGTAACTTCAGTTTTGTTCCAAATAATTTCGGATAAATGGGAAAACCCCATTTCTAACATTCGAAATGAAGTGTCTTTTTTTCGGAGAAAAACAAAACAAAATAAAACAAAAACAAACGGATCAAAATTGACGAATTCAATTTTTTA